AGCCACAGGCGCCAAGCCCTATTTTTTTTTTTTTTATTAAATCATAGCTGTGTACATTAATGCAATCATGGGGTACAGTGTGCTGGTTTTATATATAATTTTGAAATATTTTCACCAAACTGGTTAACATAGCCTTCATGGTATTTTCTTAGTTATTGTGTTAAGACATTTATATTCTGCATTTAGAAAGATTCACATGTACCCTTGTAAGATGGACCATAGGTGTGCTCCCATCAATCACCCTCCCCCACTCCCCTCCCTCATCCCCATCTTCTTGGGCTATAATTGGGCTATAGCTTTTGTATGAAAGCTATAAACTAGTTTCATAATAGGGCTGAGTACATTGGATACTTTTTCTTCCATTCCTGAGATACTTTGCTAAGAAGAATATGTTCTAGCACCATCCATGTAAACACGAAGGAGGTAAAGTCTCCGTCTTTCTTTAGGGCTGCATAATATTCCATGACGTACATATACCGATAACTAATATTTTTTGAAAGATTTTTGAGAGTTTACATTACATCAAGTTCCTCACATTGCTCACAAGCTCACAACTGGTGAGCTCAGGAAATCCGCCTGCCTTGGCCTCCCTGATTGCTGGGATTACAGACATGAGCCACCCATGCCCAGCCAGAAGACAGATTTTATAATGCAAAATAAAAAGAAATCAACAAAGGATTGCATGGTTTGCAGAAGAAATGAGAAAGGTGGAAGAAGAGAAACCATCTTCTACAGTGAGACATACAAGAGGGAAGCCTGTACTTACATCCTAAATTGTACACAAAAATGAACAAAAACTTTCAATTACCTTAGTAACCTAAAATAGATAATAAAATCATCAGGTAAGTTCATATTTATGTTTTTCTCTTTAAAAACTGTAGAACAGACTCAACACCCGTAGTTCAGTGGTTAGAGTGCCAGCCACATATACCAGGGCTGGCAGGTTCAAATCTGCTCCAGGCCTGCTAGACAATAATGACAACTATAAAAAAAAAATAGCTGGGTGTTGTGGCAGACACCTGTACACCCAGCTACTTGGGAAACTGAGACAAGAAAATCACTTAAGCCTAAGTTTGAGGTTGCTGTGAGCTGTGACGCCAACTCCATAGCACTCTACCGAGGGCAACATAGTGAGATTGCCTAAAAAAAAACAAACCAAAAAACCTGTAACACATAGGTTGGGGTGAGGTGGCTCACGCCTGTAATCCTAGCACTCTGGGAGGTCAAGGCGGGTGAATTGCCTGAGCTCAGTTCTGTCTCTTAAAAAGAAAAAAAAAAAAAAAAAACCCACTTTGTGGCAGGCACCTATAGTCCCAACTACTTGGGAGGCTGAGGCAAGAGAATCACTTGAGCTCAAGAGTTTGAGTTGCTGTGAGCTATGATGCCATGGCACTCTACCAAGGTTGACAAAGTGAGACTCTGTTTCAAAAAAAAAAAAATTGTAGAATAATTACAAGTAATCCACCAACCTCTTTCCTGCCCCAATTTTTTTTTCTTTTTTTTTTCACCTGCCCTGAGAATTTCCTGCCCAAAATTAATAAAAGCTAAGGAGTACAGAGGTGGCAGAAAAATTGGATTGGAAAGGGTTAGCCTCCCATTTTTACTTATTTTTTTTATTTTTATTTTTTTAGAGACAGACTTTCACTTTGTCGCCCTCGGTAGAGTACCGTGACGTCACAGCTCACAGCAACCTCCAGCTCTTGGGCTTAGGCAATTCTCTTGCCTCAGCCTCGAGAGTAGCTGGGACTACAGGCGCCCACCACAACGCCTGGCTATTTTTTGTAGCAGTTTGGCTGGGGCTGAGTTTCAGCCCACCACCCTCAATATATGGGGCTGGTGCCCTACTCACTGCGCCACAGGTGCCACCCTAGCATCCCATTTTTAGATAAAAAATTGAGGCAAAGAGATGCCCCAGGTTACAATTAAGTAGAAGAACCCAGATTCCATTAGGCTAGCACTTAACTAAAAAACAAAGGTATAGATTCCATTATTCTCTAAAGATAAGGAGCATTTTTTTCACAACTTTAATTCTATTTAAAGAATAAACCTTGAACCTTAAGGACAAGGTGCCATGCAAGGTGTGGCTGGTGCTGCAAACAAGGAGCAGCATACAATCCCAGCAACCAAAAGCTAATGATGTGGTAACGAAACCACTTTTTTTTTTTTTT